TCCGCGTCCCCCCCCTATTCTCCTCAACTTCGTCCATCCCCGATTCGCCTCAACGTCGGCCACCCCCTATTCTCCTCAACGTCGGCCACCCCCTATTCTCCTCAACGTCGGCCATCCCCCATTCTCCTCAACGTCGGCCGTCCCCTATTCTCCTCAACGTCGGCCACCCCCTATTCTCCTCAACGTCGGCCATCCCCGATTCTCCTCAACGTCGGCCGTCCCCTATTCTCCCCAACGTCGTCCATCCCCTATTCTCCTCAACGTCGTCCATCCCCGATTCTCCTCAACGTCGGCCGTCCCCTATTCTCCTCAACGTCGGCCATCCCCTATTCTCCTCAACGTCGGCCATCCCCTATTCTCCTCAACGTCGGCCATCCCCTATTCTCCTCAACGTCGGCCATCCCCTATTCTCCTCAACGTCGGCCATCCCCTATTCTCCTCAACGTCGGCCATCCCCTATTCTCCTCAACGTCGGCCATCCCCTATTCTCCTCAACGTCGGCCATCCCCTATTCTCCTCAACGTCGGCCATCCCCTATTCTCCTCAACGTCGGCCATCCCCTATTCTCCTCAACGTCGGCCATCCCCTATTCTCCTCAACGTCGGCCATCCCCTATTCTCCTCAACGTCGGCCATCCCCTATTCTCCTCAACGTCGGCCATCCCCTATTCTCCTCAACGTCGGCCATCCCCTATTCTCCTCAACGTCGGCCATCCCCTATTCTCCTCAACGTCGGCCATCCCCTATTCTCCTCAACGTCGGCCATCCCCTATTCTCCTCAACGTCGTCCATCCCCGATTCTCCTCAACGTCGGCCACCCCCTATTCTCCTCAACGTCGGCCACCCCCTATTCTCCTCAACGTCGGCCATCCCCGATTCTCCTCAACGTCGGCCGTCCCCTATTCTCCTCAACGTCGGCCATCCCCTATTCTCCTCAACGTCGTCCATCCCCGATTCTCCTCAACGTCGGCCGTCCCCTATTCTCCTCAACGTCGGCCACCCCCTATTCTCCTCAACGTCGGCCATCCCCGATTCTCCTCAACGTCGGCCGTCCCCTATTCTCCTCAACGTCGGCCACCCCCTATTCTCCTCAACGTCGGCCATCCCCGATTCTCCTCAACGTCGGCCGTCCCCTATTCTCCTCAACGTCGGCCACCCCCTGTTCTCCTCCACGTCGGCCATCCCCTATTCTCCCCAACGTCGTCCATCCCCGATTCTCCTCAACGTCGTCCATCCCCGATTCTCCTCAACGTCGGCCGTCCCCTATTCTCCTCAACGTCGGCCACCCCCTGTTCTCCTCCACGTCGGCCATCCCCTATTCTCCCCAACGTCGTCCATCCCCGATTCTCCTCAACGTCGTCCATCCCCGATTCTCCTCAACGTCGGCCGTCCCCTATTCTCCTCAACGTCGGCCACCCCCTGTTCTCCTCCACGTCGGCCATCCCCTATTCTCCCCAACGTCGTCCATCCCCGATTCTCCTCAACGTCGTCCATCCCCGATTCTCCTCAACGTCGGCCGTCCCCTATTCTCCTCAACGTCGGCCACCCCCTATTCTCCTCAACGTCGGCCATCCCCGATTCTCCTCAACGTCGGCCGTCCCCTATTCTCCTCAACGTCGGCCACCCCCTATTCTCCTCAACGTCGGCCATCCCCGATTCTCCTCAACGTCGGCCGTCCCCTATTCTCCTCAACGTCGGCCATCCCCTATTCTCCTCAACGTCGTCCATCCCCGATTCTCCTCAAAGTCGGCCACTCCCTGTTCTCCTCCACGTCGGCCATCCCCTATTCTCCCCAACGTCGGCCATCCCCTATTCTCCTCAACGTCGGCCATCCCCTATTCTCCTCAACGTCGTCCATCCCCTGTTCTCCTCAACGTCGTCCAGCCCCGATTCTCCTCAACGTCGTCCATCCTCGATTCTCCTCAACGTCGGCCACCCCCGATTCTCCTCAACGTCGTCCATCCTCGATTCTCCTCAACGTCGTCCATCCTCGATTCTCCTCAACGTCGGCCACCCCCTGTTCTCCTCAACGTCAGCCATGCCCGCTTCTCCTCAACGTCGTCCGTCCCCGATTCTCCTCAACGTCGGCCATGCCCGATTCTCCTCAACGTCGGCCGTCCCCTATTCTCCTCAACGTCGGCCGTCCCCTATTCTCCTCAACGTCGGCCATTCCCGATTCTCCTCAATGTCGGCCATCCCTGATTCTCCTCAACGTCGTCCATCCTCGATTCTCCTCAACGTCGTCCATCCCCGATTCTCCTCAACGTCGGCCACCCCCTGTTCTCCTCAACGTCAGCCATGCCCGCTTCTCCTCAACGTCGTCCGTCCCCGATTCTCCTCAACGTCGGCCATGCCCGATTCTCCTCAACGTCGGCCGTCCCCTATTCTCCTCAACGTCGGCCATTCCCGATTCTCCTCAATGTCGGCCATCCCTGATTCTCCTCAACGTCGTCCATCCCCGATTCTCCTCAACGTCGTCCATCCCCGATTCTCCTCAACGTCGGCCGCCCCCGATTCTCCTCAACGTCGGCCGCCCCCGATTCTCCTCAACGCCGGCCGCCCCCGATTCTCCTCAACGTCGGCCGTCACCGATTCTTCTCCATGTCGGCCATGTTTTTTAGAAATGACAATGCTCCATTCAGTGTGTCTGTGTGTGTGCTATGGCCTGCAGTACAGCACGCGGCCAGCAGGGGTCTCCGGTGTACAGGGCGCGGAGAGTCACGTCAGGATTGAAGACAACATTTTTGCTTTTTAAAGAAATGTCTCTAAAAATAGCCGGGTCACCCCGGGGCGAATTTCTCCTCCGAGTCTGGTGGCTGAATGGATGCCGCGGAGTCTCTGGATGGAAGCAGGAAGCAGGTGGAACTCTTGCTATGGGAACTGGATCGGCAGCGGTTCATATTGGGCTCTGCGGGTTACATTTTCAGTTTTATACAAGTGATGCGGCTTTAGACCTTTCCGCAACTTCACATGCATGAAAAACAGTCCTTTGCCTTCAGAAAGTTCCCCGTTGGTTGGAGAGCTCTGGCTCTGACACAGCAGGGGGCATGTTGGACCTCAGCAGAGAGACCGCTGCTTCCATACAACACCTAGTGAAGGAGGGACTTCAAATTAAAGGGCCGGATCACTGAAACAAAAAATGACACATTTTTGGGGCTTGCTCGTCCACAGCAAGTGATACCATAGAGACATCTAGACCTCCTTCTAGCGATAGTCGCCTGGCTGTGTTTAGTCAATGACCAGGAACAGCACGCAGCAAGTGAAGTCCTACTGACATGAGAACTGCCGATCTACGCTCTCACACCAGCTCAGTGATTCAAGAAAGCACTGAATCCACGGGATCGGCATGACACTTGGGCAAATTAGCATTTTCCAGAAGGAAATCAGCAGGTACAGGTTCCTTTTCAGGTATTGTTTACCGAAATGTCCCCCCGCCCCCACCCCCCCTCATCGCAAGCATTATCAGTGTGTCAGCGCTCCATCTGTTCCATTCACACGGGTTGCAGATTACGTGTTACAGGACGATGGATTGCGTCCAGCAAACAATGATATGATATAAACAGCCGCTCCTAGGTCAGCACGAGCGGAGGACACAACTCCCCATCCGGGGTCATTGTTATTCAGCTACTCAGATCATATGGGGCTCAGTTCACTGAAGACAACACACTATGGTAGTCATGTGACTGGAATTTTCAACTCTCATTGGGCTCAGCTGAAACAAAAAAACTGTCACTTTATTCAACACGAGGATCCTTATTTTCAATAAAGTGACAGTTATATTCAGCTCAGCCCAATGAGAGTTGAAAATTCCAGTCACATGACCACGATAAAGATTCTTATCCCGATGAGAAAGCATTTTGAATGGAGCTTATTGTATCGCCTGCCTCAACCCGTACCAAGGGGAGGACAAAAACTGGGGGGGGCGGGCAACACTGGACCTCCTGTTGTGGTGGAACTTCAAGACCCATGAGGCATTGCAAGACATGACATGACTCCCAGAGGCAGATGCATGATGGGGTTTGTGGTTAAAGGAGAACTATGAGGGGGGCGGGTGCTTTTCACTCACCTCATAGTTCTAGCCGACCTGTGACAATGAGACTGTCACAGGTCGGCTCAGTAGATTGGGAGGTGAGCGAACACATACAGGCGTTCGCTCACTTCTCGATCCTGTCACAGCTCTCTGCCGTGACAGGGGAGGGGCTGGATTCCCCCCTCCCCGCTCCGATCCTCCAGCGCTGACTGGCGGAACGGACGGGGAGGGGGCGGGTACAGCTGGCTCTGCCTCTAGATAGGCAGAGCCAGCTGTCACTCACGCAGCTGGGCGGATCTCGGCATCGATGTCGGGATCCGCTCCGGCTGCGGCGTCTCAGTATACCGCGAGCTGTAGCTCCCTATATACTGAGCTTAGGGTGACGGGAGGACGCTAGTTTGTGTCCTCCCGTTACCCTAAGGCCCCGTTCCCACTGCGCAATAATGCAAATCTCGCGTTTGTCGCGCGATTTGCATATTGTGCGATATTGCGAGATTTGCCGCGCGATATCGCGTTCAAGCTTGCATTGAGCAAGCTTGAATCGCGGCTAAATCCGTTCCAAAAAGGGTCCTGCTGTAGCGACACACGACCCGCGACATGCAGGACCCTTTCCCCATTGAAAAATGCATTGGAGCGCGATATCGCGCGGTAATTTGCCGCGATATCGCGGGAATTACTGCGCGATAAATCGCTCAATGTGAACGGGGCTTAACGAGAACTATGGGGAAAAGCCCTGACCCCATAGTTCTGCTTTAAAGCACAGCTGGAGGGGCCGGTGTAGCCCACCCTTGGCCTACATAATGGAAAATCCAATGGGTGGGGAGGCTGACTCCATCATTAGACATTGTTAAGGCCGTGTCCTATGGCCGGGACTGGACATTCTGGAGAGGAATGTCGTGACCCGACATTCCTCTCTGACCGTTTTAAAAATAATCTTCACCCGTTCAATAGCCGGCCAGGTATGAGCTACTGGTCACTGCCCATGTTATTTTGAAGTGATTCCAGCAGCCATTTTCAGTCTTGCCTGATAGTAAACACCACGAGATGCCAGCTGTCCCCTTTATTCACTGGTAAACCTTCCCTAGTGCCCCTCTCTGTAACTAGTTTCACTTCACTGAGTCATCTGGGTTAAAGGTTAAATAAGCCAAACGCCGACCCCACCCCCCCATCCAATCAGAACTCTCCTACTGGCCGGTAAGGCAGCCTCGCTGTACAATAGAATGGCAGCCGAGGCGTCAGGAAAGTCAGGCCCCTAGTGACACAGGAAAACCAGTTTCAGAGAGGTGCACGGGGGATAAGTCATAGAATCTTATGGTGTGAATAGCTTATACTAAGTAAAAGTCACCTCTGCTGTAACTGATACTGGGTTGCGATGCAGCAATTCGGTATCGCGTGGCGTAAGATCTGAATGTGGTGAAGAAATCCATCTCTTCTATCAATAAGTATTTTATAATGATCGTTTGATGTCTTCCTTTGTAAAGAGAGGATATATTTCTCCCCCGCTGGGCACCCGGTGACCTCCATCCCGGCGATAATCCTTTTATGTTTCATCAGCAAACAGATAAATTAGGGAAATCCCAGAAAATATAACTTAGCCGTCCTTATCTGACAGCTCCGGCTTAGCATCCACCTCCCATTAACCCCTTGCGGGTCCGGCACTGCGCTCCTGTCCCTACAGAGGACACTGGGGGCAACGCACATGACGCATTGCATGCTATAGGCTGTATAGGCTGTGGCAGTACATGGCAATGCCGCGGCGTAGTATGGCAACATTGGCACCCAGGACTCTCAGCCAAAGGGGCTGAACATTGGCACCCAGGACTCTCAGCCAAAGGGGCTGAACATTGGCACCCAGGACTCTCAGCCAAAGGGGCTGAACATTTGCACCCAGGACTCTATGTTTTAAGGAAGAGCCTGGCTTTTCAGGT